GGTGCCGTCAGAACGAGAGTCCAAACTGATAAAAACATCACAATAATCCACAAGTTTAAACACTCATTCTGACTGCACCCATTCGCTGAAGAGAATTGTGAGCAAGTGATGTAATGCTAAACTTCTCCAAATCTGTTGAGATGAAGAAACAAACTTGGATGGCCTTTTCACTTTTGGGTGAACTATTCCTTTAAATACTTATAACATATGATTGATAAATATGCATTGTGCAATAAAGACAGTGCTCTCTCACAGACCAGTGTTTTTCTTTTCTTTTTTTTCTCCACACCCAGAAATCATGAGACAGGAAATGTGAAGTCAGTACAATGAACATTTACTGATTTACAGTTGTTATCTAAGATGCTTAAGACGTAATTTCATAAAACCAAAGACATGTTCACATCTCTCTCTCCCACCCTCAGCCCACAGAAACTCTACTAGAGCTTTCATTTACAATCATTTATAAAACAAACACTTCAAATATAAACTCTGTTGAGATGAAGAAACAAACTTGGATGGCCTTTTCACTTTTGGGTGAACTATTCCTTTAAATACTTATAACATATGATTGATAAATATGCATTGTGCAATAAAGACAGTGCTCTCTCACAGACCAGTGTTTTTCTTTTCTTTTTTTTTCTCCACACCCAGAAATCATGAGACAGGAAATGTGAAGTCAGTACAATGAACATTTACTGATTTACAGTTGTTATCTAAGATGCTTAAGACGTAATTTCATAAAACCAAAGACATGTTCACATCTCTCTCTCCCACCCTCAGCCCACAGAAACTCTACTAGAGCTTTCATTTACAATCATTTATAAAACAAACACTTCAAATATAAAAGTATTCCCCTGTAGCACGTTGATAAGAGTGTCCCTTGCTTTGGACTCAATGTAAGGAAAGAACCAAAAAAGAAAGAAAAGCAGAAAACAGCTTGCGACAGCTTTAGTATTTGGCAAGTTGATAAATAATGGAAATTTCTTGCTTAAAATGTTTTCAGGGACAGGAACTTGTATTTTATTGCAGTCTTGGGGTCTAAGTTTGAGACTAGCGGCTGGGACACTGGATTCAGATATCTCTTATATTGATGCAGAAACAGATTTATTTCTTTTTTTTCTGTGAAAATTTTAAGGGTTAAATTACAGATATTTACAATTATGCCAAACTCATTCCAGTTCAAATATAAACATGAATAAAACCCCAACAAAAGACAATCATAAATCTTGACACCATTGGGTTCTGTACATTGGCTCAAGCTGGTGGAAAATTAAGTTGTTGGTCAGATGAAGACGATTTATTACTTGGTCCTTTGTAATATACCATAGTACCTGTTTTTCCATACAGTTTGTAAAAATAATCATTGGTGTACAGGAATGAAAATCAAGCAAATTTTGTGTAGGACCATCCGTCCCTTGCTTTGGACTCAATGTAAGGAAAGAACCAAAAAAGAAAGAAAAGCAGAAAACAGCTTGCGACAGCTTTAGTATTTGGCAAGTTGATAAATAATGGAAATTTCTTGCTTAAAATGTTTTCAGGAACTTGTATTTTATTGCAGTCTTGGGGTCTAAGTTTGAGACTAGCGGCTGGGACACTGGATTCAGATATCTCTTATATTGATGCAGAAACAGATTTATTTCTTTTTTTTCTGTGAAAATTTTAAGGGTTAAATTACAGATATTTACAATTATGCCAAACTCATTCCAGTTCAAATATAAACATGAATAAAACCCCAACAAAAGACAATCATAAATCTTGACACCATTGGGTTCTGTACATTGGCTCAAGCTGGTGGAAAATTAAGTTGTTGGTCAGATGAAGACGATTTATTACTTGGTCCTTTGTAATATACCATAGTACCTGTTTTTCCATACAGTTTGTAAAAATAATCATTGGTGTACAGGAATGAAAATCAAGCAAATTTTGTGTAGGACCATCTTTACCTTAAAAACCTGAAAATCTGCACTAGCAATGGCCCTGTCAAACTATACAGTTTGCATTCACCTGAAGTTGCTGACACAAACAATCATTCATAAATAGTGGAGTTCTTCAAAATTGTGCGCCTGTTTTTGTACCAGCTTTTCATTAGAGCTGAAAACACGGTGGCTTTGCTCTCTGCCTCGTTATCGTTACGTTCGTCACGCTTCTTATATTCCGGGCCGTTCTTTGTTCTTAGCCCGTCTGCTAATCTCGCTACTGTTTGACACAAAAGCAGCTAATTAATCCTGTTAACATGGCAGGAATTCTTCATACAGTTCTGATTTCATCAAAGTGTTCACATCTAAGAGTGTCGTCTTCACTCTTCAGGAAGAGAGGGGAATAAAAACCCCAAAACTTGGGAGATTAAATGCAATGGAAGATAGAAAACATATCTAGTTGCTTAACACAATACCTTATCACTGTGAGGGATTAATCAGTCAAGCTAACCTGTGATTGGCTGTTTTTCTCTTTAAAGGGAAATTACGGATTTTGAAGTTCATTTTTAAGAGCTTTTTTGTGTGGCCTGGAATTTAAATAGACATGGTTGCGTGTAGGAGTGTACGGCTATTAACATGCTACTCTCACGATCTCTGCAGTATGTATACTGTGCACAGTATGCATGGGATACCCAGATGACCTACTACATTTGCCAAGACACACACACAGCGCAGAATAACATATCCCATAATGCAATACACACAACTTGACCTTCCATTTCCAACTCTTTTTTTTTTTTTTTGGCTTACTATTTTGCCTAACTGTAAACACTCAAAGCATTTTTACACAAAATTGATTTTAAAATACAAAATAGTCATTATTAGTTGCTTATATGCAACATCACAAGGTAACGTGACGGTGAAGCTTACTAATGTCTGAAAAGTGTTTATCATGGAATATTGACAATCATTTCACCTACTATTAATAAAAATAGTAGACAGAATACAGTATATTCTACAAGTACATTAGTAGGCTAGAACTCCATTCCGAACACAACCTGTCACTGAATGATACAAGATTAGCATTCTGCGCTAACTGTGTTTGATATTAAGTGTTGCAGTGGGTTAAATTTAAGCATCTGACTGCGACTTCCACCATGCGTTTAGGTCATCTGAGATTCAGTCACATCACTGTTGCACAATCTTTCCACCACACAACACCAGCGACATGTCGTACAAACTCTTGTTTGTGTTCTCTCGCTCTCAACAACACGTTATTGACAGATCACATGAGTACAACAACATAAAACCCTTGTATCAGAGTGAGGAGCAGCCATTTTAGTAATATAGTGTGCGGTTGTATTGAATTCTACTGTAATAATAAACCCAGGCTCATTGGAAAAAACGTGCCTATGGCGACATATGCAAAATTATATTATGTTGTTTTTGAATGTTTCAAATGAAATTTCCGGTGACGTTAATGCTCTATCGCATTTGAAAATAGCGTACTGACCCTAAACCTAATTAAAGCAAACGTGAGTGATTTTAGCTAGCTTCTACAAGTCTTTAAGCTCTTTTATTGTGACTTGTGCAATACTGTACCGGGTGAGCTACCGAGCAAGTTTACTATGTGGGAAAAACCATACATATGCAGTAGGTTATGTGGTGCAAATTTGAAAAGGTATTACAAATCCTGCACCATACAAGTGTTTTGAGGTCATAACATAGTATTGTGCAAGGAACTGTGCAAAAAAAGTCCTTATTAGTAATCTGGCCCATAACCATAATTTGCGCAAAAACATGGATAGAGGAAAGTTTTTCCAATAAACCTAGGTTGGTTATATTGCTGCCGGTCTGATGTATTTGGGCTTTGTGATCATTCAGTGTCTAACTTTAATGTGTTGTTTCAACATATGTATCAGTGTGTTTGTGTTATGTAAATAATAATAATAATAATAATAACACCTGCAGCCCACTTTCTCATTGGATGGCGCAACCAACTCCAATCTAACGTGGACTTCAGAGCAGTTTGGAGCATGGTGAATTTTGGATCTTTGAGGCACTTCTTCATAAAACACATTTTATCTCCCATTTACTCTATAAAACCAACATGGGTGGTTAAAAGCTTGCGGTCTGAAGCACAGCTACCCACTGTGGATGAAACCATCATGGTCATAAATTAAAATGTGCCACTTTGCATCATAGAAGGCATTATAAATTCTTCGATTGGTTACCTACACTATAATACAACATTTTCTTTTACCTTTAAACATTATACATTCTTGTTTCGCTTGAGGACGAGCCTCATACAAGATTAAAGAGAATCCAAAAAAATTTATAAAAAATCGAACAAAATAGAAGTGCACATTAAAGGGATAGTTCACCCAAAAATGAAAATGTGATGTTTATCTGCTTACCCCCAGGGCATCCAAGATGTAGGTGACTTTGTTTCTTCAGTAGATTTTTAACACAAACCGTTGCAGTCTGTCAGTCTTATAATGGAGGTGAATGGGCTCTCTCACGGCTTCGAGAGTAAAAAAAAAAAAAGTATACACAAACAAAACCAAATTAAACCCTGTGGCTCGTGACGATACATTGATGTGTAAAGACATAAAACGATCGGTCTGTGCAAGAAACTGAACAGTATTTATATAATTTTTTACCTCTCCCAATTGAGATTGTAGATAGAGTGTCAATGGTCTACTTGAGAAATAGGATCCGATCCGCCGTAAAGCAAGAAGATGACGACGCCTCACGCGCCTGCTGTTTAGAACGCGCTGAGGACGCGCCGCCGCTCAGGACAGTTCGAACAGTTCGGACATTGCGTGAATCAGAGGTAAAAAATTATATAAATACTGTTCAGTTTCTTGCACAGACCGAACTCTTTTGTGTCTTTACACATCAATGTATCGTCACGAGCCACAGGGTTTAATTTGGTTTTGTTTGTGTATGTTTTTTTTTACTCTCAAAGCTGTGATTCCTATTCACCTCCATTATAAGACTGACAGACTGCAACGGTTTGAGTTAAAAATCTTTGTTTGTGTTCTACTGAAGAAAAAGTCACCTACATCTTGGATGCCCTGGGGGTAAGCAGATAAACATCAAATTTTCATTTTTGGGTGAACTATCTCTTTAGAACGGTCATATTTAGCTAGGGTTGATGGGAAATGTAGTCTCTGATGGACGCAGGCACACATCGAAGGAACTAACTTGAGTCCCAGGCAACAGTGCGCGCACACACACAAACATGGGCGTGAAAATTAAAGAGGATGCTGGGAAGCAGGAAGACAATCAACAGCTGAAATTTGGGGAATAGTTCTGAGTTTGTTTTCTGAAAATCCTCCAGTCGTTTCTTCTTCCAGTGTAACCCAAAAATAACTCAAGCAGGGTCCGAAACTTTAAGTCTTGGTGTTGTTTTTGTCTTTAACACAGTTTTAAGGAAAGTTCTACTCTGTGACACATGTCTGAGTCTGAGCTGAACTCAGCTGTAGTAGTCTTGTGGAGCCGCAGGCAGAGAAACAGCCGTATTGTTCTTCCCTCATATGGTTTCTTCATTGGAGAGCAGCAGAGGATTAATGTAGTCGAATCCCTCAAACTCAGACTGGTCTATTCTCTTTATCACATCCCTGAGGAGAGAAACCAACATTATTAATAGAAGAGCTACAATTCAACTCTACATGTCCCGCACTGTGGCTTAAAGCAAAAAAATTAGGGTAAAAGTGAAGGAGGTGTAGTTTGATGAATTGAATTTCTGTTAGGTGCTAATAAGGCATTGCAGATAAAAAAAAATAGTTGCTGGCATTACATCTACATTTATTCCTTTAACTGACATGTTTATTCAAATGAGGAATATAGAGATTTAACCTAAGGAGGCAATTCTGCGAGAACAGCTAACAGTTGCAAACATTGTCGAGAAGAATATGCTCAATTTGACCTTTTATTTCCAGTCTGATTAAATACAGCTGATATTTTTTATATTTCATTTCATACATTTGCTACTTGGTTGACTGGAAAATTAAGAATTAAGAAATTTTTCCACAAATTAAATAAAAAATGCACAATATCTATTTTCTTGAGGAATTTACATGCTTATATTTAAAAGTATGGGTCAGTAATGAAGACTAGAGTAATGGCTAAACTATGTATGTATGTGTATATTTGTATAAATACACATACATAAATGTATATATTTAAGAAATATATGTAATATATATTTATAATATACATAGAAATATATATGTATTTAAATATATATAAGTATATGTAATATATATTTATATTTTTTCTTTAAAATATACATGCATGTGTGTGTATTTATATATACAATTAATCGCGATTAATCGATTTGACAACACTACTAAAATGTATTAAAATAGAAAATAGTTATTTTAAATTGTAATAATATTTCACAATATTGCTGTTTTACTGTATATTTTATCAAATAAATGTAGCCTTGGTGAACAAAAACATTAAACAAATCTTACTATCCCCAAACATTCGAAATAGTGTATACATGACTGGTATGTTACTTCTTCAGGGCAGTGCTGAGTAATAATTTTTCCATTTATTTTTATTTGATGCATCTATTTTTTTTCCTTTCAAAAAGGCCACACATTTTACAGATTTTGCAGGGGATATATACATTTATGAGCACATCTGTAAATGCAGACTGCCCACCAGAAACAACAATAACAGCCTTTCTTCATCTGCGTCGAGGGGCTGGTTAACTACAAAGGGGGCTCTAACTACAGCAGTGGGCAGACAGAATTTCACTAGAGTACAATTGAGAAATTCAGCGGCGTCTTTCTCCTCTTGGCTATTTTCTGCAATGGCAGTGATCCTTTACATGTCTAAAGAGATGGTAACATTCTTGCTGAAATCAGACCTCTTGCTCTTCAGAACCTCAGGAATCCATTGATCTATTTTATCAGCCTGTTGAGGAAACAAATCTTACTATCCCCAAACATTCGAAATAGTGTATACATGACTGGTATGTTACTTCTTCAGGGCAGTGCTGAGTAATAATTTTTCATTTATTTTTATTTGATGCATCTATTTTTTTTCCTTTCAAAAAGGCCACACATTTTACAGATTTTGCAGGGGATATATACATTTATGAGCACATCTGTAAATGCAGACTGCCCACCAGAAACAACAATAACAGCCTTTCTTCATCTGCGTCGAGGGGCTGGTTAACTACAAAGGGGGCTCTAACTACAGCAGTGGGCAGACAGAATTTCACTAGAGTACAATTGAGAAATTCAGCGGCGTCTTTCTCCTCTTGGCTATTTTCTGCAGTGGCAGTGATCCTTTACATGTCTAAAGAGATGGTAACATTCTTGCTGAAATCAGACCTCTTGCTCTTCAGAACCTCAGGAATCCATTGATCTATTTTATCAGCCTGTTGAGGATACCGCACTGCTATAGAGCTCCACCTCTTCTATGGCGTAATGCTGAACCGATTCAAAACTCATTTATCACGTTCTGTCAAACACGGTCCGTGGAGGACAATTCTCCTCTATAACAAGCTCTGTAAGAACTAATATTTCACCAGATCCGGGATCAGTGCCGAATTGTGTTTGTGCTGTGTCTGTTTGAATAAAGTCCCCAGAGGGCCACTTGACTGTATGTGGGTGTGTGTGGGGTCGAAATGCCTCCAGCAAGAGTGAAACCTAAAATAACATGAATGACACCTCTATGTCGTAATATCAGGCTCAGGTTTCAAAGGGAGTGCAGGGGGGGAAATGTGTGATGCCGCAGAGGAAGAAACACTGAAAGACGGACATTCTGGGCACTGACCAAAATAAACAAGCCTCTTTACAGCACAAATGTTTCTTTAGAAAAGAATTACAAGGTGGAACTTATTTGAAAGACAGAAAGCAAGCAAGCTTTGGTACCATTTTTACCAAAAAACATTTGGTAAAAATAGTTTCTACATTTCCTTTCCCACGACCTGTTTAAAAACATAAGATTAGTAATGCGAACATTTGTTATGAAAGGGAATGACTTGAATTGAAAGGTATGTAGATAATACACTTCTTAGGGGCCATTAAAAATGCACACTAGGAAAAGTTTGGGGTCGAAAAAGATTGATCAAAAATGCAGTAATATTCAGAAATAGTACTACAAGGTAAAGTAACCTTTTAATTTGAATATATTTTCAAATGTAATTCATTCCTGTGATGGCAAAGCTACATTTTCAGCAGCCATTACTCCAGTCTTCACATGATCCTTCAGAAATCATTCTGATATGCTGATTTTGTGTTTGAAACATTTGTGCTCTTTTATATTTTTGCGCAACCTTTTTTCAAGGCTCTTACAGAAATGTTAAGTTAAAAACAACAGCATTATTTGAAAAATAAATATTTTGTGACATTTTAAATGTTTCTGAATGATCTTACTGGCCTTAAACTTTTGACCGGTAGCGTACTTTGTGTAAAACAAAGCTAGATAATAATGCATTGGGAATCCAAGTTCCTTTATAAGCTGTTTGTGTGAGCATGTAAAAGGGAATCGTGTCTCTAGTCGCAAAGGATTCCAGTTCATCCTTTTCCGCTGTGCTCTGAGACACATCCCTCTCTGGACGCACTTTCCTTTAATCCAAAAGACTAAATCTCTTACAAGGAAGGATTTCACCCCCCACCCTCTTTTTTCGTCTGCCAGATCCGTCAAACAAAAAAGGCTTCCATCACTTCCTCCCTCTCCTCCTCTCTTCCACCGTGTGGGACGTCAGGCTTTTCCAGAGCTCGCTCTGCTTTTGAAGTGTCTGGCTGCTGCGTTCCTTTGAAGCCTGCTTGGAAAATCTCGTATTGAACTAAGAACCCGCCGTGGCTCTATAGATTACAGTCTGTCAGTTCATCTGACTGCAGCCCACTTGTGTTCTGTTAATTATGAGTGACAGGTTTACTGACAAATTGACTTCAATTGGCTTGTAGACTGCAATGATTGTGTGCTCAACAGTTAGTGTTCATAGTTCAATGAAGTGCATCTTGAGCTTCACGTGGAGAGTGAAAATATCAAATCACCTCAAGATACTGGATGACCTCCATCAGACTCCATTCAGAATTGAATGGAGAATGCCTGAATGCCTGAATTAAAATTAAATTTGAATTGAGGTAGTAAACAGGATGCAGAATTGCATCAAACTTGAATTTAAATTTAAAGGAATAGTTCACCCAAAAATGTTGTCATAAATTAAAGACGAGGAGGAGACGAATTGTTGAATAAAGTAGGTTTTTTTTCTTTTGCGCTCAAAAAGTATTCTCGTAGCTTCATAAAATTACGGTTGAACCCTTGATGTCACATGGATTATTTTACCGATCTCCTTGCTACGTTTCTGGACCTTGATCGTGTAAGGACCCTTTGCTGTTATGGGTTATGGGAGGGTCAGAGAGCTCTCAGATTCCTTCAAAAATATCTTAATTTGTGTTCCGAAGATGAACGGTGGTTTTACGGGTTTGGAACGACATGAGGGTGAGTAAATAATGACAGAATTTTCATTTTTGGGTGAACTATCCCTTTAAGGAAGTAGAAGTAAAATGTATTGAAACTCACATGGATGGATGGAACAGTAGATAGAATGATAGAACAAGAATGGATGGAACGAAAGAATGATAGAATGACAGAACGATAGATAGATAGATAGATAGATAGATAGATAGATAGATAGATAGATAGATGGAACGAAAGATATAGAATGATAGACAGATCCAATCCAATTCAACTGAAAGGAAGCTAATTCTTCTAACCCTGGTAAGAAGAATTGTACGTTTTAAATGCACAGCTCTCAGATTTTGTCGATAACAGAATGCATTTCAGTCACGGTACCAAATCACATTGTTAATCAAAGATGCCGTCCTCTATAGGAGCTGCATTTTTGGAGCTCCATTTAATGTAAATTGAAAACAGGAATCCTTTTTAGAAGCTTAAGGATTGCCTATCTCTATGGATCAAATCAGAATAACAAATTCAGCCAGGATATAAAAGTCATTGTGAAGACTGGAGTCCCTCTCCAGAGAAATGCACCTCTACAGAACAATACGTCTCAAAGCCCGGCGTGATTGTTCTCCACGCAGAATGACTGGAATGTCCGAAGAATCTCTTGAGAGAAATGGGGCGAGACCTCAACAACTGACCCAAATGTATTCAGACATGCCATGAGTCAACCTACAATCCTCCACCATCAGATAAATGCACATTTTTTGCATTGAGTTGACTAGCCTTCTCTTATTTTAGCACTTGTGTTAATCACTGCGGTATTCAAAAGGACCGAGTTTATGAATGAGCGAGCAAAGAAAAGACTTGAATGCATAAAAGCCCCCCTAGAAATTCACTTCACACTGATTAAAGCCAGTTTTCACATGAATCTCTGGTTTTTAATGCCTCTCGGCATCAGGTTTTCACCATTTAAGAGCTGTTCTTTGTCCTCCCTTTCAATGTGGCCCTTTTCGGTGCACCTCATACTGTAAAGCAATCAAAAACTCCAGAGGGGATGTTTCCATATGACATCACCACCTCTTGACGATAGCCTCCAGATGGGTAAACCATTTCACTTCATCTCGCTCTCACTTCTGAAGGGGAATCTTAGACATAAACCTCACCATCCTGACCAGTAGAATCAAGCTGAGTGGAAACCCCCGTTATTAAACGCCTAAATCTTCTGCTGGTGCAGTCATGTAACTTTGAAGTCGTTAAATTATTACATAATCGCTCTCGAGATGGATTCCGCAGAAGTGACGACTGACTTTAATTTTCATTTAAACATTTGGAAGATGTTACAGTGTTACAAGATGGCAGTTTGTCTTTTCATAATTCAAATCTGGACACATTTTACCAAACACCACGAGTCCAGTCATATTAGTGGTTTTTAGCAACTGAACAAGTTGTTGGAAAACAGGTGGAGTGATTCTTCTGTCAGAGATCTTTACTGATCCTCTGTGGTAATGTAATGCCTTTCGGCCAAGCATAACATTTTTCAATACTTACTCGTCGTCTGGTGTTAGCTGCACGGGTTCGTTGGTGAACTGCGTGTCAAAGTTATCTAAACCGTAGTCGTCTGTGATCTGAGGTTTGAACGGTGGCGTCACCTGCTTCTGTTCCAGCTAGAGGAGAAAAGTGAGAAAATGACTGATTAGAACATAATCCATTCCAACTTCTATGATTTTTGTAAGCTCGTTTCCAAAAACTTGATGTCTACATTGCGGAGTTCAACAACATTCTTAAAAGCAAAGATTCTGGCATCTATGGTTCCATGAAGAGCCTTTAACATGGAACCTTTCCATTCCACAAAAGGGTTATTCAAAGTGGAGAAATGTTCTTTAGATTTTTTTGTTCTTCACACTATTCTGTGGGGAACCAAAGAAAAGTGAGAAAATGACTGATTAGAACATAATCCATTCCAACTTCTATGATTTTTGTAAGCTCGTTTCCAAAAACTTGATGTCTACATTGTGGAGTTCAACAACATTCTTAAAAGCAAAGATTCTGGCATCTATGGTTCCATGAAGAGCCTTTAACATGGAACCTTTCCATTCCACAAAAGGGTTATTCAAAGTGGAGAAATGTTCTTTAGATTTTTTTGTTCTTCACACTATTCTGTGGGGAACCAAAAATGGTTCTTCTATGGCATCACTGTGAAAACCTCCTTTTGGAACCTTTGTTTTTATGAGTGAATAGCAACAGTGTTGCCAAAATGTTGAAAAGCTAAGCAAAGAAAAATGTTGCCATCTAGGGCAAGTAAAAATCTGAGCCACTGGCCTGATTGAGCCAAAATAAATAAATTATTTTTTGTTGAGCCCTATATAGGCCTTTTAAGACAGCTTTCTACCTGAACTAAAACCTCAGAAGTGACTGATTGGAGCCAGCGACACAAACAGCAATTAATGACGGGGATTAAATTTACAATTGATTCCAACATATTCTATTGTTTTCATTTTGCCAAGCTAACCACATGGTACCCTAATGGACTCTATGCATGACTCCTTTCAAATTTAGCTTTGGTAACCACTGCAACTTCCTGTGCGGCACGAAATTAAATCTTGAGGAAGTTTCTCAGAGGAAAAAGTCCACGAGCAAAAAAAAAACAAAACATTGCAAACAAAAAATGCTGGTTAAACAAGCTTTTATTGGTACTTTCAGTATGGAATGCAACAGAAGAAATGCAATTTATAATCAGCATGATTTTTATAACATCTAGGTAGGAAGTTAATATGTAAAAACATAAATTCCATAAATGCCAAAGCTGTATCAGATCATATGTACTAATGTTTATGAGATTTCATAAATGGCTGACTCAGCGTGACATCCGCTTTAAATAAAACTACAAAAAAAAAAAAAAACAGACAAAAGAAAGCAAGGCATTTTTGATTTTCACTCAAGGCCACTAAATAATGCATTAATCACTGCATTAAAAACACTCTGAAATCAACCGAAAGAGGGTGAATGGCCCTTGTGTGAGGGACACTTTAGTTTGTTTGAGTCTTGAAGTACTTCAAAGTGCTTTTAATAAAAGATATTAAAGTAGAGATGGACAAGGAGAGAAGTAGGAGAGAAGGCAGAAAGAAGAAAGAAAGACACGTGCTATTTTTTGTATTGTAGAGGTTTGATGTTAAGCACTTGTCAGAATGGACAGATTCTGTGGACGTCAACACTACAGGTCAGATAAGGTTTGTTTTCAGGTTTGGACTCTTTTTGCCTCTCTAACATTCTGTGTGTTTTGAGGACATGATCCTGCTGTGTTCCACTCCACGCCGATCTGCACAAACTGGAACAGATGGCCTCTCTTCTCTAATTTCACTACTATCTCACTCTCTCTATTTAGTCTAATTCATGAGTCCAGCTTAATGTCTCTCGTGTTGGTCTGTCAAAAGGCTTTTACATTTATTAAAGAAACTCTGAGTGGTTATTGTGCAAATCTCGCTGATATTTGGTGGCAAAATGTTCTGGTTGTTTTTTATGTGTTTCTATGCAGGCCATTGCTAGGTGGATGCAAAAGTGTGGCCACAGTCAAAAGAAACTGCTAGGTCTCGATTTCCCTTTTGTTCCCTTTTCTCTTATTTTCCAAATCAGTTTTTGGTGTACTGTATACACTACATTTCAAAACTTTGGTGTCAAAACTTTGGATCATGTGACCCTGAAAAATGGCGGAATGGCTGGTGAAAATTCAGCTTTGCCATCACAGGAAGAAATTACACTTTTAAACATAGTAAAATAGCCTAGATAAGTTATTTTAAATCATAATAATATTTAACAATATTACTGTTTTTACTGTATTTTTGATCAAATAACAGCAGACTTGGTGAGCATAAGAGAAAATCTTACTGACCCCAAACTTCTGAACGGTAGTGTACGTCATCCTACTCTTTCCCATGAGCAAAACGCTCTGCCTTTGCGTATGCAGAGTAATGGTAAAACAAAAGCGGAGAGAGACATAACAGAGAGAGTTAAAGACGGCACACGGGGGAAAAAGAGATGTTAATCGGTGCCCAGCCGCCATGTGTGCATGTTTTTTATTCCCGAGGCCATTGACTCCAGAGAGTCAGGCATGACGCAGTTGGCTGCAACCTGCCTGGTGGAACATGCTAACGCTCGTCTTTGTAGCAGAAAACCAATTACACACGCACACCCATCCAGATGCACAGACTCTTCACGCTGATGTGTGGGAGTGGATTATTCCCACAATGCTTCTTCGCTAGTTCTCGCTTCCCGCCGCTCTCTCAGTCTCTCTGTCGGGGTCCGGCATCATCCTCTCAGGGACTAAATGATCGTAAACTCACTAGTAATCTGCTAGGATGACACGGTGCTGATTGCAGTGGGACGCTATGGCTCCCTTTACACCTGGCATTAATGTGTTATTGGTGATTGCATCACAGACTGATAGCGATTGATCACAGTAAATGCACATTGGAAATGCATGTGACCATATTGGATTTGTAATGTAAATGGTAATCTGTCCTGACACTGAATCAGATGCAGATATACATACCAGTCATACAAATGCAGGACCAATGTCTCTTAAAGGTATAGACCACCTAAAAATGTATATTCTGTCACCATGTTTTTCCAGATCTGTATTTGTGTCTATGTGATCAGTATTGAGTATTTTGTTTCCCTGTAGAACACAAAATAAAATATTTTGAAAAAGGTTTTGGCCATATAATATTCATTCATTCATTCATAAATACTTTTGTGAAAAAAAACAATGTTTGGAATGACATGAGGTTGAGTATATATTGGCAGAATTTACATTTTTTGGGTGATCTATCTCTTAAAGACCATCTGTGGTCATGTGAAAGACATCTTTAATAACATCTTTTTACCATTTTTTCTCAAGTATATTCCAGTAGAGAGCAAAAGAAAAACAGTGTTCAAACTAGCCCTCTCTCACACATACACCGATATCTGCTGTCACAGGAATGGATAATTATTATTAATACATTCATACAACAGCAGTGGCAAAGCTGGCTGAAATCAAAATCCCACAGGCGTGCACATTCATTGTCTGATCCCCATGACAGCACGGCTGTTCTGACTGTGTTCTAGAATAAAAAAGAAAAGCATGTTTCTTTCTATTCACCATTTAAAAAAAGCAAACCAAGGTTTGAATTACAATGATTCATTTAATTGAGCCAATTTGAATAAAATGCTTTTAAGACTTAATCTTTTAAGACCAAACAATGACTCTGATTTAGAGTTGCGTCTTTCCATCAACATTAGAAAAGACATCGATTTAACTGCAGCTGTGGATAAGAAAAACAGGAAATCCACAAACAATAGGATTAGCTACACTGTAAATTTTTTTCAAAGTTGTAAATAAAACAAGGATTACCGGAGTATGTTTTACAAGACAATACAATTTCAGTTTTTCTACTTCAAATCTACAAGCTTAATTTAATGTGTTACTTATATACATTTACATATACATACACACACACACTAATACAAAACACTGTATAAATCTATACATGTTATCTAAATATATTAAAAATCACTAGTTTTTAATGCTACAAGTGAATTTATCTATAATTTATGACTTTATGCATTACACTGAATTTATGAATTATAATGTGAAAAAAATATATTTTGTGTCGATTTAAAGATTTTTAAGTGTTACAATATTATTAGTGTTTAAGACCGTGTTTATTAGTGTGTTGTAAAGACAGTAAGGTAGTAATATATATATTGTGTGGGTGTGTGTGTATATATATATATATATATATATATATATATATATATACACACACACCCACACAATATATATATTACTACCTTACTGTCTTTACAACACACACACACATACAATGTAGAAGATGCAGTAATTCTTTGTTTCCAAATTCAAATTCAAAGTTGTTACCAATTTCTCCTCACTTGAGGATCTACATGCTCCAGTTCCAAAACTAGCCTCTTGGGTCTCAGGACTGATCTCAGATGCGGACTTCCTGTGCAGCCTCCCCTGCTAAATCTGTCTTTACAAGCTGCCGTCACAGAGAGTGAGAGTTGTGCTGCGTCTCCCCTCCAGGGCCCACACTGCAGACGGTGTGAAGAGGGTCTGTCTGAGCGGAGAGAAGCTTTTACACCAGCTGTACCATTCTGTCTCTCTCCCACTCTCTCAGTCTACCCCCTGCTTTCTCATTCAGCTCGCTCTCTATCACTTTGTCTCTCACCGTCTCAGTCCACCTCCCTCTTCTCATTCGTCTCTCTCTCCTTTTCTCACTCTCTCCCACTTTGTCTCTCGCTGTCTAAAATCATTTCCCTCTCCTCATTCAAGCCTTTCTCACTCTATCTTTTGTAATCTGCCTCACACTGTCACAATCGGCCTAGCTCTCCCACTCTTTCACCCCCTCTGTTTCTCATCAGGGGTCGGGAACCTTTTTTGACCAAAGAGCCAATTTTTTTTATTTTTGGTTAATGCATTTTTCCAAAATATATATAGGCTCTTTTTTTTATTGAAAACGTTATTGAAAAAAAAACATGCATTTTATA